CTTTCGAACTGCTGATCTTGCAGATCGCAGCCCAACGCAAAACCACTACACTACCGGGGCTCCTTGATGAACGAGGTGGGACTGGTTAAAAGAGGACGTCCTTGGGGGAAATGATGATCTGGCTAGCAGGTACGGAGCACTTACGGCATAGCAGATCCTGTCCTCAATAGTGTATAGTCATCAACCCCTGTCCTCACAGGAGAGCTAGGAGCCCTTACGACCGTCACTGTTGTGTGGATGCTGCTGGGTCAGTTGGCGGTGACTCCCAGTGACTTGCTGACACAGCACGGCCGTCTTGCCGAGTTTCCTCAGCTGTCACTCTCACGGGAGGAGATGCCCAAGTCTTTCTCGCACAGAGCGGCTGGCTGCGTGGATCTGAATCACCCATCTTTGCAGCGCAGGCCACCAGGGCATCCCCTTCCCCGTTGTACGGACGAGTGAACAGAAACCGAGAGTAAAATGCCTGCCTGGTCCCCACCAGTGAATCAGCATGTATTGGTTAAATATGTTGTTTGTTTGTGAGGTGAAAAGAGAGATGAAATCCAGAAAGTTTACCAGGAGGGCAGAAAAAAATTATTCCCTGAGTTTAAAAAAAAAAAAAAAGGAACAGCATCTAAGTCTGCTGGGTTAGAAATCACGAGATCAAAAATCCTTAGTGACAATGGGTCCAAAGCGATGAGCAGATTCAAACAACAAGATCAGTGGAGGGAGGATGGGGTGGAAAGGGGGAACCGATTACAAGGATCTACATGTAACCTCCTCCCTGGGGGACGGACAACAGAAAAGTGGGTGAAGGGAGATGTCGGACAATGTAAGACATGGCAAAATAATAATAATTTATAAATTATCAAGGGCTCATGTGGGAAGGGGGAGTGGGGAGGGTGGGGGGAAATAAGGAGCTGATGCCAGGGGCTTAGGTGAGAGCAAATGTGTTGAGAATGATGAGGGCAACGAATGTACAAATGTGCTTTACACAATCGATGTATGGATGGATGGTGATAAGAGTTGCATGAGCCCCCCATGAAATGATTAAAAAAACCAAACAAAAACAAAAGATCTGAATAGCTGTCTGGGAAAGAAAACACAACCCATGACCATGAAATAACCATCAGACAAACTGTCTATGGTTCAAAAGCCAATCCACTAAGACACGTCTGGGCACCTGACCCCCTACCTCACACCACACAGACCTATTAGAAGAAAACAGAGGCTGTTTCCCCGACCTTGGGATGGACAAAGGTTTAGAAAACAGACAACAAAACCCCCCCACAGACCTTTAAAGGGGGTGGGGGCTAAAAGAATGATAGCGTCAAATAGCCAAAAGGTTTCAACATAAAATAAAATAACAAGTGGAAACACCTAGGAGGTCAGTCTGGCTGGAGGGCCAATTGTCTGGCCATCTCACCTGGAAGACCTCGGCGCTGGTCTTCTCATGGCGGCGTCCTAGCTCCTCCAGCTGCCCCTCCAGCCGAGCCATGTCGGCCTGCAGCCCACTCACCACACGCTCGTGCTCCGACCGGGCCACGCTGCCCACGCGCTCCCGCTCCAGCTCGGCCCGCAGCCGGGCGGCCTCCTTGCCCGTGGCCACCACCTCCTGTTCCAGGTCGGCGGCCCGGCCCCGCAGCTCCAGGGCCTCCTCCTGGAGCCGGTGGTGCTCCGAGGCGGGCACTGCGGACTGGCGCAGGGCCTCGGAGGCCGCCCGCAGCTCGGCCAGGCTCTGCCGGGCCTCCTCGCAGGCTCTGCCCAGCTCCGAGGCTTGAGCCTGGGCGGCGTCCCGGGCCCGGCCCAGGGCCTCCGCGGCGACTCGCTGCTGCTCCTCGGCGGCCCTGGAGGTGGCCAGCTGCTCCCGAAGCACCTGCAGCTCCCGGCTCTGTTCCAGCCGCACCTCCTGCTGCTGCGCCAGCTCCGCCCGCAGGCCCCGGGCCTCCTCGTCCGCCAGCAGCCGGCCGGCCCGGGACTCGTCCAGCCAGGCCGAGGTGGCCTCCAGCTCCCGCAGGCGCAGGTCTCGGGCCCGCAGGTCCTCCCGGGCCTGCTCCAGGGCCGCCCGCAGCTGGACCATGCTGCCCGCGCCCCCCTCACCGCCCCCACTGCCCGCCGCCTCCTGCATCCGCTCCCGCAGCCGGCCGGCCTCGGCCTCCGCGGCCTGGCATTTGCCCCGCTCGGCCTCCAGCTCGGCGGCTGCCTCCTGCTCTCGCTGCCGCAGCATCTCCTCCAGGCGCCGGATCCTGGTCTCCAGCTCTGCCTGCAGCTTTTGCGAGGCCTCGGCTGCCCCGGGATGCAGGATAGGCCCCGCAGGGACTCCCAGGGCCCTGGCCACCGTCTCTGTGGCCTCCACGCCCGGGAGCCCCGCGTCCACTCCATTGGCCATCACCACGGACTCCACAGCCACTATTTCCGTCTGTTTGGTGGCCTCTGCCCCGGTGGCTTTTGAGCCAGTGGCCTCTGCTCCCGTGGGCGGCACCTCGGTGTCTTCTGCCTCTTCCAAGGCCATCGCTTCTGTGACCTCAGCCCCTGCTGCTGCCTTTGCCTCCGGGGTTGCAGCACCCGCACCCTGACTTTCTGTGGGTGTGGTTTCTGTGGCCTCCACCTGTGTGGTTGTGAATTCCAAAGTCCCAGCCTCCGTGGTCCCAGGCCCCTCGGCCTCCTCATCTGTGGTCTCAGCCCCATTCATTGTGGACTGTGGAGCCTCAGCACCATTCACCTTCCCGTTTGTGGGGCCGTTGGTAGTGGGCCCGCCTCCTCCGTCCTTGCCGGCTCTCGTGGGTCCCTGCTCTTCAGTGGCAGTCTCCTGGGTGTCTCGCTGCTCCAGCACCCGCAGGGCCTCCGCATGTTGCTGGTGGAGCTGCTCAAACTCCATCCGGAGAGCCTCATAGAGGGCCAGAGGGATGACCTCGGCCGGGACAGCGGCCTCCACCTCGTCCTTCTCGAAGTTCTCCAGGATCTGGGGTGAGGGAGGGGAAGCAGTCAGGTCCAGGGAGAAGTGGGCATGGGGGTGCCTATCCAGGCCCCCAGCCTGATGTCCAGGAGTCAACCCTCCCAGGGGTCATTAGCACTCCTGTGCCTCAGTTTCCCCACCTGGACTTTTTCTGTCAGCTCCTGGTTCTGTTTGGTGAGCATAGCCACCTGGTCCTGTAGTGTGGCCAGGAGCTCCTGGACAGATGGGCTCAGGCGCTTAGAAAGTAGCCCGTCAGCCCCTGCAGTGGGGAGAGGGCCATGGAGTCAGGACCCAGGGCCCTGGTGGGAGGGACCGGAGGAGGTGCTGGGGGACTGGGATGGGCCTCAGAACAGGGGGTGAGGGGCCTGGGGCTCTAGAGGGTGGTAGATGGGGGTGGGGCCCACCTGGGAAGTCGGGCATTTCGCCTTCCTCGTCCTGCAGGGTGGCCACGTCGTAGCTGGTATTCTCACGCTCATTCTGGGGGTGGGGAAACAGTCCGGCACGAGTGTTTGGAGAAGTGTCATGTGAATGCACTGGTGGGTGTGTTGTCCGTGTGTGTCTGTCAGGTCCGAGTGTGCGGGAGTGTGACTGTATGTTTGTGAAGTGTTGCCCGTGCGTTTGAGTGTGGTTCTGTGTGTGTGTGAAACTAAATATGGATCAGTGTGGATGGACCCAAGAGATGGATTCCCCTCTTGTCTGTCTGTCCCAAGCACTGGCCCCCTCCAGTCCCACCTGGTCCCCGAGTTCTACCTGGGCCCCCATCTGTTCCTGCACTGCCTACGCAGCTGGGCACCTTGCCTCTTGGCACTGCCAGTCCCACCTGGCCCCTCACCTGCCTGCCTCCCAACCCCACCTGTTCAGGTACCCCTCCCCACTCCGGGGATCCTGCCCCACCTCCAGCAGGGACAGGCGGCTCTGCAGACTCTCCACCTCACGGCCCAGGCTCTCCTTCTCCTCCTGCTTCTCCGCTAGCAGCTGCTGCAGCTCCTGCACCTGCAGGGGGGTGTCAGTAGACCTGGGGGGGCTCTAGGGGGGGTCCATGGGGCATGTGTAGGTCTTGCTTCTCTCCCCGCTTCCCACTTACCTGCCTTTCCAGGCTGTGGAGGGAGCTTGCCTCAGGCTCCTGCAATTGAGGAGGGGGGCCAGGGGTGGGTGCTGGGCTCGGCCATCCCCAGCTCCTTCTCAGCCACTTCCCGCCCCGGCCACCTGAGCCACTGAGCGCAGGCCACAGGCCGGAGGCTCTCTCACTGCCACCAAGCATCCAGTGAGTGCCCCACGCCCTTCATCACCAAGTACAGTCCATTCTCCGTTGCCCTGGATTCCTGGGTCTGCGTGCACACTCATCTACTTGCTAAAAAGTATCAGTTTATAACTTAATGGGCTTTTGAGGTGTGTGCTCACAGGCCCTGAGAATGGGTGAGAAACATAACAGAACACCAAACACTGCCATCGAGTGGATTCCGACTCACGGCCACCCCCTCGAGGGCGTCTGAGGCTGTACATCGTTCTGGGAGCAGACAGCCTCTCGTCTTTCTCCCGTGGAGCAGCTGGTGGGTTCGAACCACCGACCTGGAGGTTAGCAATGCCTAACCCACAGCACTACCAGGGCAGAGAATAGAGAGAAATGGAGTGGCTGATGTTGACCAAGGCTGGGTCATGACTGGCTGGTTCAGCAGACACGGAAACACGGAGACCCCACTCCCTGGGGTGTGAAAGATGGACATTGAATAAGGGAGGCCGAAGAAGAACCAATGTTCGATGGTGGCGCTGGCCAAAGATACTGACAGTAGCATGGACTGTCAACAGGACAAACAGATCCGTCTTAGAAGAAGCACGGTTGGAGTGCTCGTTAGAGGCGGTAAGGAGGGTGAGACTTTGTCTCACATAACTTTGGATGTGCTGTCAGGAGAGACCGGTCCCTGGAGAAGGACGGCATCTTGGTCAAGTGGAGGGGCGGCGATAGAGGTAGGCCCTTGACGAGATGGATGGACACAGTGGCTGCATCAGTGGGCTCAGGCACAGCAAGGCCGGTGAAGATGGTCCAGGTGTTTCGTTCTGTGGTGCGTGGGGTCGCTGTGGGCCGGGGCCGACTGGATGGCACGCTGGGAGAGGGAGCACCGGCCGTACTTATTCTAGGCTGACTCGGCCAGAAGGAGGCCTGGAGACACTGTGCATTACAGGCTGGGCTGCTACCCTGAAGGTCAGCAGTTCGAACTTACCAGCTACTCCATGGGAGAAAACTGAGACCTTCCTGCACCCGTAACGATTTACAGCCTTGGAAACCCACGAGGGCAGTTCTGCTCTCCGATAGGGTCCCTGTCGCTTGAGGACAGTGAGTTTGGTTTTTAGAGCGTGAGTCACACCTTGACTTCGCTCACTCACTCACTTGCTCATTCTTCATTCAGTCGTTCCCTCCCCCCAACAATTCATTCATGCAACAGGTTCAGAACCCTGCTAACTACCAGGTCAACAGTTCGAAACCGCCACCGGCTGCTCCACAGGAGAAAGATGGGGCTACACCCAGAGAGAGTTACAGCCTTGGACACCCACAGGGAGAGTTGTCCCCTGTCCTACAGGGTCCTTAGGAGCCGGCAGTGACCGGATGGCAGTGCGTGTGCTTTGTTCGTTTTTTTGTTAACTGGGAACTGGGCACCCCCATCCGTGCTTGCCCTTTTGGGGTGATAGTTTAGTGGGAGGCCTCAATGAAATATACTGCATAGCCAGCAACCAGTGCTCCAGATAAACACATGGGGGGGGGGGGTTTGGAGGAGAGGCGGCTTGTAGTCTAAACGGTGGAGGAGGGGAGGGAGGGAGGAGGCAGGTCTCTGGGGAGACCGCTCCAGGGGCGGGGTACTTGGTTCCTTCTGTTCCTGCAAAGGCCCTGGGGCAGGTTAGGGCCCAGGGAGCTGAAGGAGCAGCCCTGGGGGAGCCTCTGTGGCTGGAGCTGAGTGAGCTAGGGGAAAAGAGGAGGAGGAGGAGAGGAGGCAGGTGAGGTGGGGGAGCGTGGCCCCCAGGTGCCCCTGTCTTGGTGGGGCTCTTGGTCGCCCCCACCTCAGGCACCCTCCTCTCCTGATGCTGCTGTAGCCCGCGGATCTTCTGCAGCAGCCGGCCCCTCTCCTGTCTCAGCCGCACGATCTCCTCATAGGCTTCTCGGTCATCCTGTGTGGTGCAGCCAGGGGACCCATCACCTTTCTGTGACACCTGAGGACTGGCCCTGCCCACATCTGAGCCAGCTTCCCCGCCGCCCTCTGCCTAGTGGGTGGGGAGGGGGCCCCGTGCCTCTGTAGCATCTCTCACCGGCATAGGGATGCTGGTGGGGGGCTGAGGTGCCTTCCGTTTCTTGGAGGTTCCTGGCTTCTCACGGCTGGACCCAGAATTCTGGGGGTTGAGGAGAGGTAGGGAGCACAGGCCAGCCAGCCTCTCAGCCAACCAACCAAGGCAGCAGACCTCCCCCGGCCCCTCCCCTCAACTTCCTGCATGACCCCAAGCAAGTCCCTCCCTCCCTCCCTCCCTCTCTAAGCCTCTCTCTGCCCAGCACACTCTCTCCTTTCTCTTTGCAGCAGAGATGTTGCAGAGCGGAGTGAGAGAGAGAGAGAGCAAGGTCAGGCCTGCCTACTCCAGGAAGGCTTCCTTGATTACCCCAGCCCTCGGCCATCTTAGTCCCCTACTGGGCCCCACCCCAGCATGAGATAGAGTCCTGTTTCTCTTCCAGTTCTGGAAGGGATGGTGTGGATGCCACCTGGTGGCAACATACCCTGGAAGGTAGCCTTCTCTCCAAACAGGCCCTCCCACGGAACCCTAACCCCTTGAGAAGCTGGTGAGGGTGGTGTGGGCAGAGAGAGGGGGACTCGTGAACTGGTTAGGGGTCCATACCTGAGAAGAGGCCTCTCCTGAGTCATCCTCTGGGCGGAAGGGGAGAAAGGGACACGGGGTCAGCTACTCTGTTCTGGGGCCCCACTCCCAGTCCCAGGGTGGGCCTTAGTGGGCTTTGTTACTGTGTGTGTGTGGTGAGGGGAGGGGGGAGACTCGTAAATACTGATAGTGGGAGCCTTGAAACTCTCACATGGAAGGCAGTAGCCCTTTCCAGACTGGGATGGCTGGGTGCGTGGGTACCATTCTTAGGGAAGGCCAAGAGATGACCCGCCTGCCCCGACCGGACCCCACCTGGCCCTGACTGCCCTGGGCCTCCTTGAGACGGTCCTGAGAAGCCTGCAAGTACCCTGAACCATCCTCTGATGCAGGAGGTACCTTGGCGCGGCCTCCCCTGGGGGGAAATGAGGGGGAAGAGGGGGGACAAGCAATTGCCTAGCAGGAGCTGGGGGTGCTTGAAACTCCCTGGAGGGGAGCCGTGTACCGCTGGGTGGGGAGGGGCGCTGAGCCGCCTCTTGCAGGAGGTGCAGGATGAGTTTGTCCCCCGCGAGGGCACCGTAGTGAGCAGCGTCCTGGCCCAGGGAGTCGGTGATACCGGGCTGGGCCCCAGCCTGCAGCAGCACCTCCACAGTCTCCGGGCTGGCTCCTTCACAGGCCAGCATGAGGGCTGTCCTGGTGCGAGGGGGGTGGGGTGGGCAAGGAGAGGAAAGGGCTCCTGAGGGAGGGGCCAGGGCATCCGCAAACCTCCAACCCCCTTGATCAGAGAGGACAAGAGCCTGACCCGGAGTCATAAGGTGGACTGGGGCCGGAGGGCAGATGCTCACCTGCCCTGCAGGTCTCGGTCATTCACGGCAGCCCCCTGCTGCAGGAGGAGGCGGCACAGGTCTGTGTGGCACATCTGAGCGGCGATGATGAGGGGTGTAGCGCCTGACTGGTGGAGTAGAAGGGATGACGGGCGTGGGGGGGGGCATAAGGAGGTGCTGCCACTTGGTGGCAGCGTGCACCACCTGCCCAAAAGGTTGCAGAGGCTCACTTACCCGATCTCGGAGGTTCAGATGTGCCTTAAAGGAGCAGAGAAGTTCTGAGCAGGAGAGGCAGCCGCCAGCCGCTGGGGGAGGGGGAGAAAGGGAAGCCCACAGGTCACTGTCTAGACATTTTCTGTAGGCCTCCTGTCTAACTCTGGACCTTGATTAAAACATCCAAGCACACAGCCATCGAGCACCAACAGTGGGTAACTGTTGACGGGAATGGGAAATCTGATGTATCTCCCCCCAAGAAGAGCTGCTGGTGGTTTGGAACTGCCGACCATGCAGGGTCGCAGCCCACCACCGCATAACCACTATGCCACACAAGAATGACCCACCTCCCGTGGGGAGAGCCATCCAAAGGCATGGATGGCTCCCTATTTGACAGGGGAGGAAACAAGGCCCTCACCCGGAATTACGGAGGACTCTGGACATAGCAGGGGCTTTGGGTGGCTCCTGTGTGTGGGGGGGGTGGGGGAGCTGATGTGAGCACTGTTTTGAAGATGAAGAGGGGGACAGGAGAGCACTGAGGTGCCAGAACTGCAAGTGCAAAAGCCCTGAGGTCAGAAAAGGGGTCAAGGGAGTGTGTGTGCCCAGAGGCTCAAGCAGGGAAGCAGGGCATGATGGGAGGTGTGGCTGGAGAAGTCAGCAGGGCTGAGCCTGCAGGTCCTCGAAGGAGGGCGACGGAATGACAAGATGGTCTTCCAAGGTTTATTCTAAGAGACACCCCCCCCACCCCCACCCCCGGCTCACTGGGAGGCTGTCGGTCTGGACAAGGGCTTGGTTTCTAGAACCCCTGGGGTGGGAATCCCCGGGATCTGGCCTGCTGTTGTCAG